TAAAATTTAAATTAGCCCTTCTGGCCTCGCTTGAGATAATGTATTCTTTTGAATTTTGTACTGGAAAACGAGGCCAGTAGGGCTAATTTAAATTTAAACAAAAGAATATTAATCCAGCAGCCATTTATGAAAGTGGTCTATGTAGTATTGTGGCTCCCAAGGAGAACTACAGTTCAAATTCCTTTTATTCAGAGCCGTGCCCTCAGTACGTGCCCTCAAATTTAAATTAGCCCTTCTGGCCTCGCTTGAGATAATGTATTCTTTTGAATTTTGTACTGGAAAACGAGGCCAGTAGGGCTAATTTAAATTTAAACAAAAGAATATTAATCCAGCAGCCATTTATGAAAGTGGTCTATGTAGTATTGTGGCTCCCAAGGAGAACTACAGTTCAAATTCCTTTTATTCAGAGCCGTGCCCTCAGTACTTTAACAATAAGCTGGCAGCTTATAGAAAATGGCACATTGATAGAATTAAGAAGCTATTAATGAAATAAATGGAAAATATGAGACAGTTCTGAACCTTTTTTTTGAACTGCTCAGGGCTCGAAATTAACAGTAACCCGTTAACCAAGGGTTAGTAATTTTCAACATTTGGTAATTTTCAACATCATGTAGTTTGAGCTACTCTTTAATTTGCCCTATTCGTTATTATGATCAAAATGTTCAATATTTGAGATATCGTAACTTGTCAGCTTGGATACCAAACTTTATAATTTGGTTAGTAAAAAAGATATCTACTAACCCTTGGGTTAGTTATCCAAAAATTAAATTCGAGCCCTGCTGCTATTTTAGTTTGATATTCTTGCAGGTTATATACAATATGTACATTATTTTTTCATTTTCTTTTCTCCTAGGAATGAGAAAGCACTAACGAGCTATGATAATGCTTACTTCTATTTGCGTGGAAACAGATTGATTAATTATCAACAACTAGGACTAAAGGCTAAACTCTACTTATGTGAGGTATGGGGTGAAGTAAGATTCAAATAAGGAAGTTAAATTTCACAACGCATGACAATCATGTCATAGGAACTTGGAGCCTAATTGCTGGCAGTTTGATTAAAGGCTTAATTCCTACTAGATCTTGTTCCCTTGTATCTTCACCTTCAATTTGTATCTTTCTCATAAGATAACACACAAATCTTTTCTTTTCATTTAGATCCTCACCAACAGGGCCATTGCCCGCTCCAGGTTAGGTGATTTTCAAGAAGCTAAAAATGATTTTTTGATGGCTTTACAATCCAAGGTGGAACCTAGACACGGTGTAATTGATGACCATCTTCTCTGTTGGCAGGTAAAGCACTCAGTGCTTATACAGTAAGTTTTATTTTAGGTGTTGAAATTAACTATGTGCAGTTAGCTTTGATTACCTGAATGATTGATTGAAATGAATTAATACCAAGTATTAATTAACCAACTGATTCAGCTGAAAGAACAAATCTCATATGTGACTAAACACTTCTGAGACTCAACTTAAGGACTGACATGACGGACTGATACACTAGCTGTGAACATAACAACTGGCCCTCTAACTGGCTAACTTAGTAACTAAATAACTAACTGATTGACTGACAGATCTCGTTGTAGCTGTTAGACTGAGTGATCAACTGACTGATTGACAGACCAAGTGGTTGATGTACTAATTGACTGACTGACTGTCGACCGACCGACTGACCAATTAACAGACAGACCAACTGATTGCCAGACTAGTTGTTTGACTGCCGCCTGGTGTACTTATAGTGACTGATTTCTTTGTTTAGAGATTGACTGGTTTACTTCCTAGCTCATTGATTTACTTTCTGACTCACAGCTTGCCTGACTGGCTCTCATTTCCTCTGAAGAAGGGCTAATGCCAGAAATGTCAGCTTTGAAACTCTTTACAGTGGCTAGTTTACATTTATTTATCAACTGATAAAACTAAAATTACCTTGTTATACTCTCCCACCGATGCAGCACTACAGTTTCTTTAGAAACTTACACCCTTTACTAATTTGGCTCTCAGACTGTTTGACTGGCTGACTTACTGGCTACACCTGTCTGACTGACTGACTGACCGACCGGCTGACTGACCGACCGGCTGACCGACCGGCTGACGGACCGTCCGGCTGACCGACCGACCGGCTGACGGACCGACCGGCTGACCGACCGACCGGCTGACCGACCGACCGACCGGCTGACCGACCGACCGGCTGAC